CCCCCCCGGTCAATCAGTGCCTGGGGGGAGGGGGCTTATCGGAAGTTTCTTGCTCCCTACTGCTACCCCTGCCCTGCAAGGGAGCGCTGCACTTACAGTCAACCGCCAGCTGGTGGTTGACTTTAAGCACTGCATGCCCCCTGCAGGGCGGGAGGAGCCTTTGCATGCTTTGGCCCCCTCTCCTTACCTCCCCAGGTCAATCAGAGCCTGGGGGCAGGAGAGCAAGCACTGGAAGTCTCTCACTCCCTGCCCCCACCATGCGCTACCCCTGCCCTGCAAGGGAGCGCTGCACTTACAGTCAACCGCCAGCTGGTGGTTGACTTTAAGCACTGCATGCCCCCTGCAGGGCGGGAGGAGCCTTTGCATGCTTTGGCCCCCTCTCCTTACCTCCCCAGGTCAATCAGAGCCTGGGGGCAGGAGAGCAAGCACTGGAAGTCTCTCACTCCCTGCCCCCACCATGCAAGCGAGTGCTGCACATAGTCAACCCTGATGGTTGACTAACCACTGCACGCCCCTGGCGGGAGAGACGACTTTGTGTGCTCCCTCAATCCCAGGCCCTGATTGGCCTGGGGGTCAGGGAGCAGCAGAGAATATGTGGGTCAGATCAACCTGCTTGGCAGCCTAGCGCTGGTGTGTAGAGGTTCTTTTGCCCACGCCGTCCTGGACACTATAGTACAAATAAATGATGGTCACATAAACACTGCCATCTACTGACTGTTATGCTTAGCTACATGCCACTGGCTTCCATCCAGGACACATCACATGATCCATTGTCAATAGCCAAGATCTAAGATACAATCGTATCTGCTCCAGGCCCTCAACCTCCTGCAAGATCATTGTCCAGCATTCTTGACTGGCTCCTCTCACTCAATAGCTAGCTGGTTGGCAGCTGGAGGAGCTGATAATGATGATTCATGGAGAGATGCACCTGTGACAGCAGGTGGCCCTGTACACATTAGGTCCTCAGTTCTATCAGTCTCTCCATTATGCCATGCCCCTGTTTGCTAAGGTGTGTAACCAGCTCTGAACTGATGCATCAGTGTCTCATCCTGGTGGAAGGCCTGTGCCTCCCATGCTCTATGGCACTTAGACATCACATGTCTGTGCATTGAGCAGGTTCTCCAAAGTATTCCTCCCTCTCCGGTGCTGCTCCTGCCCTCCTGGTGGAATGGCTTACAATTATTTTCTGTCCTTTGGAAGAAGCCAATAAATTCTCTCACTTGTGGAAGGCCACAACTATTGATCGTTTTCAGCATTCCAGAGTTGTGACTGTTAGACTCCCCTGAGTTGTCAGACTTTTGCAACCTATGAAGCAGCACTGGCTACAAAGGGTAAGATATATGGATTAATGCTTTTAGAAATGTTCATAGTGTGTCAAGGGATGGGGCAGGGGTGACAATTCCTCCAGGAGCTAAGTTACCAGTGTACAATTTATTTTTGAAAAGCTGGGCAACCTTTGGAGAACATAGTATGGTTTCATGATACCCAGGATGACTTTCCACTTCTGTGGAGGAAACCTATGCCAGAGATTTTTCTGCTAATGGGCACCAGCCTACCTCTTGCAGAATGCTGGGATTTGGTCACCTATGATTTGCATTTTCATTGAAGCTCAAGATGCAACTGGAGTTTTGGTTACACAAAGTCTGCAGAAATTTGCCTCCTATTTCTGAAAGCCTCTCAACTGGAAATTGAGCCTATTCTTGGGTAGCATAAGGAGCTATGATGGAAAGGGAGATGTGCACCACAAACACCGCCCTCACCAGAAAATCCTGCCCTTGTGCCTGCCTAATAATGATGAAGTAACCAGAGAAAGAAAAAGACACAGTGCTTTATTTTTATTCCCCATTGTTTTAGTTCAGCACCATGTCATTTTTGCCTCTTTGTGACACCAGCTTGTATTTATGCATCTGCCACACAGGCTCCTTCTCTCAGCCCCATTTCATGCTGTATGGCTCACTATGAGGAGATGCCAGACACAGGAATGGTAAAAATTCTGTGACTTTCCAAAGGAGAATGGACAGCTGTGACCAACTTTTCCTCAGCCAACCAGAAAGCATTCCCTTCTCCTTCTGAGGGTCTAATTCCTACCCTCCACCTCAACCCTTGCCTCCATTCTGTGTGGTTTCTGTGCAAAGGGATGTTATGATCAGAAGTAGGTATAAGAAGTGAAAAGGTGTAATCTTTCAAGAGACAGCTATTACTAGGGGCAAATAACTAGCAGTCCCACCTGGGACCTTTCTGAACTCACCCCTTCTTCCTCTGGTCCACACAACATCAGCACTAGCTTTACTGACAGCATGTTGGTTGAGAAATGAACAAAGATTGTTGATAATCTGTTATTGCTTCTGCAAAATGCACAATAATGGCTTACTGGCAATCAATCCAATCATTGATTTATAGCTGTTTGTTGCTTGGGGACCCTATAAATGTTAAAGTGATGTGTGGGGGTTGAGAAACTCAGGAGTATAACACCAGAGCAGAAGGGAATATTGGCAGGGAGGATGGGGGAGTCTAGTTTTAACAACCTTAGGTCCCGATGCAGTTCAGGTTTGCTGGGGTGGATTTTGTCCACCAGCATCACTGGCTAGAGGGGCAGAATCGCATGTTCTTCGTCCTGTGAGTCTTTGTCTTCTGCTGTCCCCTCACCCTGGCCTGCAGATGGGGTAAGAGTCAGGCAAAAAAGTGGCTCAGTACATTGGAGGAATATTGAAATTCAGAACCTGAGATATGCTCCTGGCCCCATCGCACTGCACACTGGCACAGGTATAGGGCCATGCCGAAGCCCAATATGAGTCTTGTTACACACACTTCAGGCATGCTCACTTACTTCGCTTCAGATGTGTTTCAAGGCTTTAGAGATGGACATCATATACATAGACACATACACAATCACTAGTGACCATGTAGCCTGGGCATGAGAGATTTATGCAATGTTTGTAAAACACTGTGCGCTTTAGTTGAAAGTATGTGCAAAGTAACCAGCCAACTAGCACAAGCTCAAATAATCTGCCCTGTACTACAGTATATCAAGTACAGTGAAGCATTTAATAAATATTTAGCTTGCAGAGGCCAGCCTGGACCCAGGAAATTTATGCTAATACTCTCATGACAGTTTTTCCTACTTTTGCCTTTGAACTGTGAATTTACCCCATCCTGCACTCCCCCCAATCAAACAAAACACTGCAAATAAGCCAACTAAAGTGAGGATGAACAATTCTAGGGGGAAAAAAAATCCTCACAAGAGGCTAAGGTCGATATATTTGAACAAAAGATCTTCAAGGGCTAAAACTTCCCCACTACTAGAATGGGGCAGGAATAAAATTTTGCAGAACCACCAAAGCAAATGAATCAGCTTGAATAGTTGGACCATACAATAGCTTTTAGGGTTTCTCTCTCTCTCTCTCAACACTGAAGTGTCCACCCTTTACATAGATCCAGGGGCGGATATAGGGCAGGGCGAGCGGGGCGGCTGCCCCAGGCCCCGCGCTTCAAAAAGCCCTGCGCCGTGGCAAAGGGGGGCCCCGTGAGATTATGCTGCCCTGGGCCCCGCAAAACGGTCATCTGCCCCTGCATAGATCTGTTTAGTAAGTGCCTCTAGTAGATTTCTCTTCCCTTCTGTTTTACAAGAAGGGCCGTCTCAGTTAAATACCTACATACACTTACCCAAAGATCTGTAAAATCATTCGTTAGGATATGAAAGCTTCTGAAAAAGGAGCCCCTTGCTTGATGTCCTAAAGTGGTGAGAGGCCATATTGCTCTGACTTCCCTTTGGGACTTTATGCATAAATCAAATTACATGATGTTGCAAGAAATCTTGTAGCCTATGAAGTCAATGGCAAAACTACCATGGACTTTAAGGAGACCAACATTTAAGCCTTTATTTCTGGTTGTCATATGTTTTACCCTCATCTTAGTAAACTGCATTGTCTCAGAGGACCACAACTGTCCTGGCAACTTGGGCATGGAGAAGGGGTTACTAGTAAAGTTTGGTCCTTGTTTTGAGAGGAGTAAGAAGCTGAAACAGAAGCAAACTAAGGGTGTGTCTAGACTACAGGGTTTTGTCGACAAAAGACTTTTGACAAAACTATACACTACCGCTGAGTTCTGTCAACATAACATCGACAAAACTCAGCAGTTGTGTCAACGGCAGTACACCTCATTCTACAAAGAATAACGCCTTTTGTCAACAGAGTTCTGCATCTACACTGTCCTTTGTGTCTACATTATCACGTGGCTTGCTTTGTCGACAGAACTGGCTGTAGTTTAGACGCTCTCCGTCAACAGCTTTGTTCACAGTATGTCGACAAAACCTCTGTGGACAAAAGCCTGTAGTCTAGACGTACCCTAAATGTACTGAAGCAAGTGGAGCCCAGTAGTTATGTGAGTTATGTTTGTGTCCCATGGAAGAGGTGTCCACATTCATTCAATCAACAGCAAGTTTTGGAGACATTGAATGGATTGATGATTTTAGGCAGATCTCATACTAGATGGCTGAAGAAAGCATTTACCACTCTGCTCCTGTATCCTTATTTATTTAAGAGCAAGTTAGATAGACATCAGGGATGGTCTAGATGGTACTGTGTCCTGCCATAAGTATCTGACGACCTCGCTTTTAGAACAAAAAGATTTATTACCATTCACATCTGGATGGATAAGGACATACCAATATTAAATCCAGAGAGTAGTTCAAATTGTGAAAAAGTTAACTTTTCTTTTGAAGCACTTAAATATTCTTCCTTTCTTGCACAAATCACTAGTGCGAAACTTCTGGCTCTTAAAATAAATTCAAATTTTCTTGGAAACAGTAGATTTCTACATTTTTCTTGTTCAGTTAGCAAATGATAACATGTACTTGTGATGGACACAGAAGCCAGTGCTATACATTCAAATGGACTCATTTACAAATGAAAAACAAACGGTTAAGAGTTATAGGTAAAACATGATTTATTACATTGTGTACAAAACTAGATTCAAAACAAGCAGTGTGATATCACATATTTTGTATTTTGTCTGTACATTGCACAGTTGGCAAATGATCTCCAAAAACTTTGATCACTTGTTATTTTTTCCTGTCAGCACCCCTTCCCTCCTCTGTAATTACTCCTAATTTACAATGGTATAAAAAGGTAGCTTCTTGCAGAATTCATGTCACTATGGGGTTAGTCAGCAGGAGGAGCTCCAGATCAACAACCCACCTGCTGGTATAAAGAATTTCCAGCTCAGCCTCAGTTACTAGAACAATACAGTACCACCGCTATATCAGAGACCTAGCAACACAGGGTATTCATTTTCTGAATTAAAGTCCAGTAACATATCTTTTTTGGATGTCTAAAAGTCTGTCTGCAAGTTTAACAGAAAAACTTAAAACTGAAATAAAAATGAAGACTGGGGCTACCACTGGGGGAAAAAAACCATCATTCTTTAGCAGCCACTGAACAATCTCCCATACTATTTAGGATACCTTTAAACAGATTTGATGTGGTTAATAAAATACCTTTTAAGAAAAATAAATATTTTGCATAATGTACAGAGGATGGTTTCCTTCATAACAAAGTTCAGACAGACAGACAATCACAACTCTATTATTTTATTCACAAACTCACAATGACTAATGCTGACTTGATAATTGACTTCATAAATATCAAGGAGTCCAAAAAGGTATCAGATGATTAAGTTCTTGGAAAATGGTTGCATCAAATGAATAAAGGATTAAGACAAATTGTTTTTGGTAACTCTAAGACTAGCACTTTCAATTACTCTCCCCCCCAAGTCCCAACAGTTTGAATGAAATGTCAAATCAGTACAAAATGGACTTACAGGCAGGACTAAACATGTATTTCTTCTTGGATTTAGAAGAGTCTCTTACAGGCATCTCTATAGAATGTGTCTTCTTTGGAGATGTTTATTCCTCGTCAGTTCATTTCTGCACACAAGTGATACGTGGAATTTGTTCAATTTTCCCCTTCCTCCTAGACTTCCCTTTTAACTATGAAATACATTAAAAAAGATATTGCACAGGAAGAATACTACTACTGCATGATTCTTTACAAAAATAAAAAAAAAACAAAAACAAGGCTATTGCACATCTTAAAATTTGAAGAGATCAATGAAGTGTTGAGGAGAAACTGGCATGAAGCAGGTGTCTGGATCATTGGCTGTGCAGGGATGTCCTGTATCCTAGAGAAATTAAAAGGTATGATAAGGTTATTTTCTCCTTAAACAAACAAACAAAAAACCTCACAAAAAAAAAAAAAAGCTGCCAAGCACTGATTTTGGAAGAAAAAGCTGCAAGAATTCACATTGGTTTTTAAGTCACTGGCCTTTTGGCACTGTGGTTCAAGACCTATGAGGCCCTTAAAAAGAAAAAACTGCCTAGGACACACAGGCTATGTCTACACTACAGGGTTTTTGTGCAAAAATCAGCTGTTTTTGAAAAAAAACAAAACAAAAAAAAAACACACCAGCGGAGTGTCCACACCTCAAGCGTGTTTTTGTGCAAGAAAATTGACAGAACAGAGGGCTTTTTTGCTGATAGAGTTATTCCTCTCCCCACGAGGAATAACTCCTTTTTGCACTACAGCTCTTGCGCAAAAAGGCAGGTGTGGACATGCTGGAGGGGTTTTTGCACAAGAAATCCCTATTGAAAAAAGCACAGGGGCTCTGATGGCCATTCTCTGATGGCCATGAGAGCTTTCTTGCGCAAGAGTGTCCATGCAGTGCAGATGCTTTCTTGTACAAACGCGCATCGCTTTTGTGATGCACTTTGAGATTCGGATGCACTTTTGCGCAAGAACTCTTCTGCAAAAGGCTTCTTGTGCAAAAACCCTGCAGTGTAGACAAAACCATAGTTACTTAGAGAGTAAAGCTCCTTGTACACATGGGTTCACCATGCCTATGTAGCAACAAGTTCTGATTGAGGTTTCTAGATGCTACTGGGATACAAACAAGTAGTAATAGCAGAGATGATGTACCAGATGTAGCAGAAGTAGTTTATGATCTTAGATCCTTACTCTAATTTTGCCTGGCTTTAGACCTTAAGGAAAATATGGGCCTTTATGATGGAAATTAATGTGGAAGGATGGTGCTGGAGGACTGAATTCTAGAATATAGTGATGGCCCTTCATGAAGAGGAGAATAGTATGGAAAGTAGGGGGTTGCAAGATTGGTGGCATGAAAAGAGAGAATGGGGAATACAATAAGTAATTAAATCTATAGACAAACTGTTGGACAGGACTCTGAATCTCGAGGGGGAGGGTGGGGCAAGGCGAACCCAGTGGAGTAATTCAAAAAGGGAAATTATATAGTTTGATCCACCAGCAAGGAGTATAATTTTGGCAGAGAGGGTACACAAGTAAACGGGAGAAGAACTTTATTTAGAGTTTCAGGATTGGATACTATACGTTACAATGTTAGTTTTACACATACATACATATGGTTAATGCTGTTAAGGCAAAATGGCTGGAGAAAGGAATTGGAGAAGAAAAATGGTTGGGACAACTAAATAAAAGTAGCAGCATTTACATTCTACCAAACCAAATGAGCAATTGTTTATTTGATTTGGCTGGTGGAGAAATATTCTTGGAGAATTATACAGTAGCACATTTTCTGTTTCTTTTATCTTCTTCTCTATACAACTGTTTTTTCCTCTGTCTTTTCTCATTTTAGTGTTAACTGTGCACTCAGCAAGGCAGTCTCTACAACACATGTGGTTAAATATGAACAAATAAAGACTGGAGACATCTGTTTGTTTTCCTTTTTTCCTACTGTTTCACCCCCATGCTTTCTTCTTCTTGTATTAACTCACACTTGTGAGTTGCATTTTTTTTTAAAAGGAGGAAAGGAGTAATGTGGAACTTTTGTACAGCAGCCGAATATGCTGTACAATTAGATTCTCCTTCTGCAGTGTGCTCCATTTCAAAAGTGCTTCAGTCCTTCCTCTTTTGCAAGGGAGGAAGTAGTCAAGTCACTGAAGTGTACTTCATATTGTTCCTCAGATTAGTTAAGAAGATAGGGCAGGGAACTCATAGCTGTACAAATACCATGGAGTAGAACCACCAGTTACAATGTAGTTCTTGTGTTGGAGCTAGCTATATTTGTGATTGGGGGTGGGGGGTACATATCAAGAGGCTCACAAGGTAGTGGGGACTGCCACATATATCAATTTGGGAGAAACTATCAAGGAGTACATACTGCGTGTCATTTATAAATTTCAATAGCATTACTTTTGAGTTTTAAAGATTTAACACTCTTAATGCTTAAGCAGTAAACTGTGGACAAAGAGCTTCGTTACAATTTATGCGGTCACAGGAGGCGAAAGCAGCTACTTTTATGGCTGATCCCCATGCTGTTTCTAATTCATAGCCAACAAGCTGGCTCTAAATTTTCTCCATTTCAACATCTCCTTTATCTTCTGAGAATTTACTTTCAGGAAAATGGCAATGCCTTGATGTAAGTATACCAACACGTACACTTCTGAGTAGTTTAAGAACTTCCCTGCTGTGGTTATTTTACTGTTTTGTCACATTTCACTATACCAATGTACAATGGAACAGCATTCAGAAGGAATGTGAGACGATGTGTTTTAAAGATATATTCACCAAAATTCACATATCTTGCAAATATCCAACCATATACTAAGCATACATACAATGCTAGTCATACCCTCATTATTTTCAATGATTAATCAAGTCTAAAATATTCTAGCAAAGACTTGTTTGTATACATTTAGCACTTTAAAATACAGGCAGCCCCCGGGTTACGTACAAGATAGGGACTGTAGGTTTGTTCTTAAGTTGAATCTGTATGTAAGTGGAACTGGTGTCCAGATTCAGCCGCTGTTGAAATTGATCAGTTTCAGCAGCGGCTGACTTGGGGACGCCTGGGGCAGAGCAGCTCGGGTGCTGCCAGGTTGGGCCAGTAGCGCGAAGGAGCAGTGCTGCGGGACCAACCGGCAGTGCCCCACCTGCTCTACCACAGGCCCCCGGCTTTGCTCCACGTCTCCCTGGTTTGCTGGGGGGGACGCAGCTAGTGCACCCCCCCAGCAGACCAGGGAGACGGGGAGCAAAGCGGCGGAGGACCCGGGGCCGGACCCGCGGCCGCTTCCAGATCAGCTGGAAGCGCCGCGGTCCGGCCCGGGTCCTCCGCCACTTTGCTCCACGTCTCCCTGGTTTGCTGGGGGGGACGCAGCTAGTGCACCCCCCCAGCAGACCAGGGAGACGTGGAGCAAAGTGGCGGAGGACCCGGGCCGGACCGCGGCGCTTCCAGCTGATCTGGAAGCGGCCGCGGGTCCGGCCCCGGGTCCTCCGCCGCTTTGCTCCCCGTCTCCCTGGTCTGCGGGCTCCGCCAGCAGACCAGGGAAACGGGGAGCAGCTTTTCTCGTCCCGGAGGATGCGGGCGGCGGGGCCAGGCGTCCCGCCGCTCCAGTCCTCCGGGGTGAGAAATCCCCGTTCGTAACTGCGGATCCGACATAAGTCGGACCCGCGTAACTCGGGGACTGCCTGTACACGCTTTCGTAACAGTGGACCTCTTCATTCTTGCCACAGAGAGACATCTGTTGTACTGTATTTTCCCCTAGTTCCTCCCCCCTCCAAAAACAACTTCCCTAAACACTCAAAAGAATGGCAACAAAGCAATCCTCTAACACTGCACTGGACCTTGTTCTAGGCAGAGCACTTGTAATAGGAGTGAGGAGAATGTAATTTGCATCCATCCAATTCTCTTTTCCTGAACATGTAGCCAATTGTGACCCTGGAACAATGATTGACAGAGCACTAGTTGCTTTTGGACACAGCATTTTCATCTCTGACTTATGATCAATACTGGACTAGTCAAGGTTTAAATTGGTGACCTCAAGTTGAAAGGCTCCATCAATGCTTTCCCATTGACTCATGTTGAACAAAGTGCTCTTTGGGCACTGTGCTAAGAAATTAACTAAGATATGAAAATTATATTCAGCAATGACCAGTAGGTTCAACAGTAACATATATTTACAGTGGTGTGGCCCAAAATGCATTCATTCTTATGTGGGTATATTTATTCTTGCTTTCAAACTGATGTTACTGAGAGCCTATCCTCAGCATGAGGCTTTTGTATTGCTGAAAACATTTAGGATTTGAGTTAATTGTATGATGTAATGCGCACATCTCATTACCTATAACAACCATTATTGAACCAAAATGCTACAGGTGCAGCGAGCTCAAAGTCTTTAACAAGTCTGGATAGTGAGTTTAGTAAATATCTTAAAAATAATCACTCAGAAAGTCATGGACAGCATCTGCTTTTTAATGTACTTGCTATGTGCAACCACAAGGAAGGCTCAAAAGGTGGTGAATACACATTAAAGAAGTCGCACAGCCTCTACCATTAATGTTACACACTATTTCCGGCAATGAAGTATTCCATGACGACATTTCAATAGGTGGGAGGGAGGGAAGAGAGAGAAAGGAACTGTATTTCACAGAAAGCAAGAGCTTAAATGGAAGCTCTGAATTCCTTAAAAACTAGATATGGAAGCACGTATGGCATCCCTGATATAGGATGTTCCAAGACTACTGCAATACATTGGCACAATAAGGTGAGCTAAGGATGAAATATTCATTTTAAACGGGGGACTTTAATTTCTATTGGGGCCCATGAAACTTTAGAAAGGAAGAGTCTCACACTATAAAAAAAAAAAAATACCCTACTCTGGATTTAAAGGAAAAAAATAATAAATGAGATTTTAAAACAAAAGATCTATTTATGTTCCTTCTTTGCTAGCAGCCTGAAAATTAAGCCTGAGGGTATGTCTATACTACAGAGTTTTTTCGGAAAAAAATGGCCTTTTTAAAAAAAAACCTTAGTTCCGTCCACACTGCAACCACTTTCTTTTGAAAGTGAATCGAAAGAAAAGAGGAGTTTCTCCCGACATTGGTAATCCTCATTCTATGGAGGAAGACGACTTTTTCCGAAAGAGCTCTTTCGGAAAAAGGCGTGTGTGGATGGGGAAGAGAGAGTTCTTTCAAAAGAAAAGGAAAGAGGAAAAAGCAAAGGTGCCCTGGTGGCCACTCTGTCATAGTAATTACAGATTAAATGAGAGATAGTATCCACACTGAATGGAGTGAATCTTTCGAAAAAGCAGATAGCTTTCTCAACGTGCTTTGGCAGTGTGGATGCTCTCTTTCGGAAGAACTTTTACCGGAAGGTCTCTTCTAGAAATGCTTCTTCTGAAATAAGCCTGCAGTGTGGACACAGCTTGATACTGAACATCTAACAATAAAGTCCCTAACTGAATTGGCTTCAGAGAGAGTGAAGAGAGAAGATGCCAAGGGTTCAGAACATATGAAAGCTGAACCTCACTTACTCTCTTGAAAAAGATTTTTACAGGGGTGGAGAACCTACTCCGCACCACAGGATGGAAAGCCCAAGTCTCCATGACTACTCTCCCCCCCCCCATGCAGGACTGAAGCATGAGTGCAGGCTCATCCTGCTGCAGGAGTAGCCCCAACCTGGAACCCCCTCTTCCCATGGATCTGGAGCACAGTGGATAGCAAGTTGAATGTGAGTAGGGAAGCAAAACAAAAAAATCCTATCTTGGGAGCAAATGTATCATGAGGAAGCGTTTGTTTTTGCTTGTGTGGCCCCCTGATAGGTTTTCTGTGTGTGGCGGGGGGAGGGGGCAGTGCAGGGGGGAAGGTTCCCCACCTGTTTTGCAAACTACAGTGGCAGAGTAGTCTCTCTCCCTGGAAATCAGATACTGTAATCTACTAGCACCCAACTTCTCCCCACTGCCATCAGAACTCATTTCCCAGCTTCTGGGACCACTCCACCTTTAGAGACTTTCTAAATGTAATTTCAAGGCATAGCCTGCCAGGTGGTATCTGTATACCTCTTCATGACAGCAGGAAAACACCTTCCCAAGCTCTTCTCTTCAGTCAGGAAGAAAAGCCTGAAGAATCTCAATTACAATCCATTTTGGTTTTTTAAAATCTGGATTTTACTATAGGAGAACCTTATGGAGTTGAAGAGCTATATGAGGTTTTTTTTAGGTACAGCACTGCACATCAACTGGTGATTCTGAATGCTCCTGAGAATTATTTGTTTAAAAGTTTGCTCATGTATAATGATTCACTTCTAATCAAGTTTCAATAAATCTGTTTAATTAGATCAAAATAAATGTACATTAAAAGAAAATGTGTACTGTCTACAAGGAATACCTAATGACAAATATAAAATTGTATTCTTCCTCAAATTTCAGCTTAATTGCAAATTATGATGTCCCCATGACAACCCTGGGCCTATAGTGCTCTAATGTGTGTCTCATTGAGAAAGCAATGTGATAATTTCCTTTTCCTCCAATCACAAGAGGTATTTTTTTAAAAATTTGCTGTTTGGAAAAAGTATTCAAGTAAAACAGGTTATAGTGTAATTAAATTATTCAATGGAGTAAAAGCAATTTCAGTGCCTTTGTTTCATAATACAGAGAGAGAATTTTGTGATGTTTCCTTTATTGTTCTTAGATTTCAATATGGAATTTTATTCCATTAGAATGTGGAAACAATCATTAAATTGCCTACTTTTTGCAAAATCCATCCTTAGCGTAAGAGGGCATATAACCTTCTGAGTTTGACAGCAGCACCTGCTTAATTCAGCTAGCTGAATGTAGTCTTTTAAGTTGAAACAGTACAGTAGGGAACACTGCAATAAAAATAGCCATAACAACAAAGGGTGCAAAAGCAGAAGTTGAAAGATGTTAGTATCTAACAGTGTCAACAGCTGCAGGAATAGCTTGTTCTTAGCTGATCATGACAAACAAACAAATTACAAGTTTAACATCTTGTTCACTTCAACATTACAGAACCAGCACAGATTAAAGTAGGGATGAACCACACATGAAATACCTTGAGTAACAAAGCAAGGTGGTAGTCCTTTGGGATCATGAAGGAAGAAGCAGGAAGGAGTGCAATAAAGTAAGAGAGAGAAACATTAAGATTTATTGGAGTGGCTGTCATTTAGAGTAAGAAATTTAGTAATTATTAATTATTTGCCACAGGACTATTCTGCACTAGAGTATTTTAATCTGTTGGGAGACAAAGCCCACATAAGACAACATTAAACCTCAAGTAAGAACAAGCACTAGATTGTACTATCTGTTCAAAATAACTTTTAGTCACTGCATAGTACTTCGATGATGTGCCTACCATTGAAAAAATTACTATTAAAGAGGGACAAATACTCCATCATTCATATCCATCTCTAGACCTGCTGAAATATATCATCCAGTTAGTGGAAGAAATTTACTCTCCTTGGTGACACCACATAGTAACATGGAAGATTTATGATATGAACAAAGTCATGCTCACAAAAATGCATCACCTAGTATTATATGTCAGCTTTTTTACTCCACTGAGTAATTACATATTTAGTCTATATTAAAAGTGAACAATCTTAAAAAAAAATCACTTCTCAAAATGTCAGTTAAGGTGATGAGTGTGCACCATAATAATTTCCTCTTAATATTTAAGAGTACAGGATGTTTTTATATCACCACACTTCCTATGAAATAGTTCATAATGGCTTCATTGCTGTATTTACGTTTCCTATGATTGTTTTATAGCAGGGGTTAGGAACATTTTTAGGGCCAGGGCCGCCGACCCACAGAAAAAAAAAATCAATTGGGGACCACACACACGCACACAAAAGAAGCAAACAACAACACACCTCCTCCCCTCACTGATGAGGCCCTTGACTGAGAAGTAGAAAGACACTCCCCATGTTCCTCTTGTACACCAAGGTCTAAGCGGGCCCTAGTAGATTTTGTGTGCTCCAGCCCCGCAGGGGAACAGTGGAGGGGAGGCGGCGGAGGGTTGGAGTGCTAACGTGTGCTCCCCAGTGCTGAGGGGGAGCCCTAAGCCTCAAGGGCAGGATCTAAGCAAGCCAAAGGCTCAATCTGGCCCCCAGGCCTTAAATTACCCCACCCTGTTTTAAAGGAACACAGTCCCCACCCCAAAAAAATATCCTACACACTGTTGTCTGAAGGTTTTTAAAAGCTATTATTGTTATAAAAACAGCAGATAAAATGACTAGTACTGAATGAATTACAAATGAAAACTGAGATCATTTTCTTTACTGTTTGTATTTGAAAACAATTTTATAGTCAATTTCACTAGTTCCATCTAGTCAAGCCAGCCTCCTTTATGTGTCTCTTGTGTGACAAAAACATCAAGATAGGAAAGCAACTATAAAACAAAAGTGGAGTGTCAAAATTTAACTTTTAAAATTTTACTAGCTTTCAAAATAATGATATCCAATTAAAAAACTCTCTCTTTATATTCTTCATAGTACGTATTAATAATATATAATTTAACAAAATATAAATGTCTTACCAGATTTCCACCTCTGCCCCAAAATTCAAAATTACTATTTTTCCTTTTAAAAAATACACAAATTATAAAATTACAGAATAATTTAGATTAGATTTGAAAGTATCCAAAAGAATTGTAGAGGGTCACATTTCAGTTGGGGAAAAAATACATGATAAGTACAGATACTACCCTTGTACTGTATGCATTTTATTCACACCAAGTTAAGATCCAGTGTAGTACGTGGTTTTAACAGTTGTTTATTCCCATTAATATATTTAAATTAATATACCTCTTTTTCCAGTTAATATAGCTGTTTCCAAAGAGTGCATCATCTCAGAGATGACATGAACAGAGGTTTCATTTCTATTGGCTGAGTGCCCCTTTTTAGGGTTAAAAAGCTTATGAAAGGATCAGAGCAAGGAGGCAAGTCAGGCTCTGTTGCTGATCAAGCCTTTGGCATCTCTGCCAACAAAGGTGCCAGGTATAGTGTAGAAATCAGTCTATTTAGAAATGAAGTTAACACCTCCAGTTATTTCAGCAATGTTAAACATTTGTTAAAAGACATGGATGTGGTTCATATTCTAATGTTGTGGATGAGATAAATTCTGTATTTTATCACTAATCTCAGAAGACATCCATGCTTATTCCACACCTGAAGTCATAATCATATTTGATATCATAATCAGTTGCTATGGAAGTGATCATGGTGTCAAAGATTACTGAATTTGCATCTGGTGTAATGAATTAATTATTCTGCACACATCACTTGTACTAGGTCCCTCAAAACAGCAGGCCCAAGAATGGTCATAGTACTGGAATGGTAATTCAGTCATTTGAGCATGCGTGCAACATGCTTCCAGTGACATGTGACCAGGACTTCATCACTAAAATTGGTCCTCTGGTTGCATCATTAGGTTCCCCAGTTTGGGCCAGGTACTGATAGGGAGTTCAGCATGAACACTGATCTATGCCCCCAGTAATTCAATAAATGGCTCTCTTCCCTCAGATTAATTACTGAACCAATAACCCACCACATTTGAAGGGGTGTACGTGTATGTTCTGCTCAAGCTACCATCCTTTGGAAGATGTAAGTCAGATTCTGAGTCACTAACAATCTTGCTACAATTCCTACATAAAAAAAGTATTAACCTGAGTACACTGGCCATATTCCCAATTGAAGGAGTAAATAATAGAAGGTACACAATACACAGAAGATACCCAACTTTACAGCACCTTTGCATTGGACACATTCTCCCAGCTTGACTGACATTAACAACTGCTTTGAGATCGCTCTAGTTCAGAACCTCAGTGACCACTGGTCCTGTGCATGCCATAAAGCTTATTTTTCATTCACAGATAGTAGGAAACCTACACAGATTTAGCCATGGTGTCCAGTGATTGGCACATCTGTCAACTTCAAACTTGACTATTGTAATTTTCTGCCTCCAAGGATGAAGCCATCAATTTTAAAAAAAAAGCTACTACAGATTCAGAACACAGTAGAATGTGTGCTCAGCCACAACTGAGGCCTGATACTCTGCCTCCTGCTCTTGCTTCCCTTGGATTAAAGGTTTTCATCAAACATCTTGATGAGACTGTCACATACTACCTATAGGACCTCTCCCACCCAGAGGAGGCTGCGAAGGCTAGAACTATAACAGAGTTTAAAGAGAAGCTAGATAAATTCATGGAGGTTAGGTCCATAAAAGGCTATTAGCCCAGGGGTAGGAATGGTGTCCCTGGCCTCTGTTTGTCAGAGGCTAGAGATAGATGGCACGAGACAAACTGCTTGATCATTGTCTTCAGTCCACCCCCTCCAGGGCACTTGGTGCTGGCCACTGTTGGCAGACAGGCTACTGGGCTAAATGGACCTTTGGTCTGACCCAGTGCAGCCATTCTTATGACCTCCCATGATAACCACATTCCACTGGAACTGGAAACATCAAAGCAAAACATGCAAGATGATGCATTGTGTCCCCTCTCGCAGGTGAATTTTTAATCCGCTCCATCATAAAATCAGGATACCAATAAACCTCAGTATCCTTTGAACAAAATACAATACCCTTCTTTGACCTAGTCACCATAAGATAACACAAGAATAAAAAGTCTCACCAAAAAGAGATTTAGTAGCACTAAGCCAAGCAGTTAAATCACTTTGCATAGAGGAAAAAAAATAGTTCTCCTCTACAGGCAAACGTCAGTAATTACTTCTCTAGTCCGGCATCCTCTGGACTAGACCAGTGCCAAACAAGAATGTTTGCCAAACCACAGGAGGTCAATTTTGTTTTGCAGCATTACCAACACTTCCCCTGCTTACTGGGCTTTTAAAAGACACTTAAGGGTAAATCAGAGGTAAATAATCGCACAGAACACTGAGAACCAGGATTGATGGCAGTAAACAAATTTTATGGAACTGCAGAAAACTTGGTTACACCTATGATAAGTGGACATCTGGGTAACTAAAATCATGCTGGACCATGGATGTTGCTGGACCAGAGGGTGCCAGACTAGGAGAGGTTCAACCTGTATTTTAGCAAGTTGAACATTTGTCACATTCCCATATTTGCTTTTCCCGAGAGCCTGAAAACTAAAGCCACTCAGCTTAGTTTTTAAATTGTTCCCATCTGAAAGTTATAAAAATCCACCATCAGCCCAAACAAACAACTCACTTCTATATATGAAGTCCTGCAACCGCAAACACTGGTGCCAGTGCCACACAGAAATTATTGCTACCCCTGTCTGGGAACTGATCTGCAGAGCAGCACTCAGTACTATAATAGGAGGAAGGACTGAATAAGTACATTTGCATGGAATACTCAACAATTCTTAGTATTTAGCTATTCTACCACGTGTGTGGCATTTCTGCTTCATCCTTGTGATCTCTTAACTTCAGTTTTAGTCTTTTAGGAATACCATGAACCTGGTCATTCCCAGCATTAAATGCACCATACCCCAAATCACAATAGGAGCAAACACTTGAATGGAGGCAAAAAGTCAATACCAGGCTATCCCTTTACACAGGAATACCTTTGACAACAAAGCCTTCAGACTTCAGAAATTAGAAAGAACTAAAATCCAACTCTCTCATAACTACATGGTCATACAACCAGCTGCATTTTTCAGAGAAAGCTGTATCCTACAGAGTCTTCTTCAAGGGGCACTTATTCCCTAGCAAACCTTTATCAGACGTGCAAAAGCTATGTATTAATAAGACGTCCAGATTTTTTTTAAAAATCAGAAGCATATACTGGCTATGTAAATTTTTATATTGCCGATTTAATTACGGTTTGTGGCTACAGTCAAGATAATATGGATATTCAAATTCAGAATGACACGGTTCATACATTGTTATTGGCATGCATGCTATTACGCCTCATTGGACAAATTACAAAGCCACGCAGAACACCTATGGTCACACAGGAAGAATTATCTTCTTTGGGAGGAGAGGGAGGAAAGTGCAGACAAATTTGTATACAGTCCTGCGTTCACATGTCTTTAGAATTTCAGAATCATGTAAGTGGAAAAAACTCAATGTATTAAAGCAAAATGATTTCTAAGGAGAAGGCTTTTCAAGGTTTCCAAGCAACTCTTGCTTCTTTTTTGCCATTTGAAATCTTAATTTACGGTAGTCTTTGGCTTGCAAATTGCACTATAATCCACTTTTCCAACCATCGAACGTTCAACCAAAATAGGATTATGACGTCAGGTGAGTTAAGAAGCAGATTACCATAGAGAAACAAAAATCTTTCTTAAAGGGTGAATGTACTTATTTTTAAATAGCAAGATAAGGGAAACACAACATGCATGTATAGAAAGATGATTTCCAACACGTTCTTCAATGCTTTTCATGAGACAGTCATACATGATTTAGTAATCATGCTATAGAAATAATGTGGTAAGATGTGACTATTGATCCCTTTTTATTAGATGGCATAATGTGGAAGTTAATCCTCTGCCTGCCTCCCCATCGCTCCTGAGCACTTGTACATTACAGTTGTACTTAAACAAAAAGGCTGCTGGAAATTGGGGGAGTAACACCCTTCTCTTCCTTCTTTACAATGTACAAGCACAGAATATCAGTTACTGGTGCAGATGTTATCACTAAATATACTGCAGAACTGAACTTCTGAATTCTCATTTTGTCACTTTTGAATCCCTTTTTGGAACACCACCAAGCTACGTGACCACACAGCTTGATTTAAAGCCCGATTACTTTCCACTTAAGATGGCACACAATTATACAATTCTAGCATTTCCCCTGTCAACTATGTAGAGTTAGCTACTGAAAAAAAAGTATTTTTTAATGTTAAGTTACACATTTCCAGTTCTCACCTTCCAAAACAGAATACTACAATGTCGACAAAAATGCAGCGTGTCTCCATATTGTTCCTTTATGGGATAATATTTTTGAAGTGCAAAGTACATCAGCTTCCAGTCAATGTGACCTTTTTCTGACAGGATCAAATGCCTACAGAACTGGACATAAAATTAATATTTTTCTTTAAATTAGCAGAAAGTATTCAAGAAAATAAAAACTAAAAGAATGGTTTAATATAGAATATTAGCACGAAAGAGTCCCAATTATAAAATATTTTTAACTCATACACAGCTTTATGGAGTATCAACTTGAAACTCCAAAAGCACAGTTTTAGAGACTCTCTGTAAAAGTACAGGCAAAGCAACAAAGGCTTTAGACCTTGTAAATGCAGTTGGAGACTACGTATTTTCCAAATTTAAGATATTTTACACAACTATTCTCAAAATTAAATAATGCTTTTCTTTAATTTTAAATGAATGCATACTGGGCTTACTTGCACATACTTTGTATATTTTTTTGGAAGCATGGTACAAAGCATGTGGATAAATGTACTGCCTAATTTTTCCAAGCAACAGTCCTTCAGATCCTTATACAGGTTAGGATTCCCTGGTCCAGGACCATCAGGATCTGAGCAGTCCCTAACAAGGGAGTTTGCTGGACCAGGGGAGGTCAAGACCTTAAGCTCTCCCGGCCAGTGCATTGACCCCAGCCTACTGGTGTGGCTCCTCTTTGGGTTACCGGCCCCATTTTGGGCAGCGGGACTCTCCATCCCCTGTTCAGGCTCTTCTTTGGGCTGATGGGATTCCGTTCCAGGCTGGTTTCACTTTGGCTATAGCAGGCCTCTGCGCCCCAGCTAGCAGGGCTCACTGCTCGCAATGCCACTGGCTACTTCTGTGGGTGGCAGTTCTCTGGTCTTATACATCAAATTCAAGGTGATCAACCCCATCCTGCCTACTTCTCAGCTATCATTCTTCTTATTCCTGCACATTTTTACCACATTACCCTCCTAACCTGGCCTTTGGATACTACCTATTCCCCTGCCTTTTCATCTTTTGCCAAGGTGCCACGTCAATGTGAGCTAATCACCATTTATTTATTAAATTAGTTAAGACCCACAATGAGCTCAATGTTGTATAGTCAATAAAATCATTCTTGCCCCCAAAGAGTTTACAGTCTAAAGACAGAGGAAATAAGCTCTGCCCCAGGCTTCCTGGAATCAGCCGCTCGTCAGTTTCAGCAGCGGCTAACTTGGTGACACCTGGGGTAGAGCAGCTGGGGTGCTGCCGGGTTGGTCCCTGCAGCGCTGAGGTGCGGCGCTGCGGGGACCTACCCGGCAGCGCCCCAGCTGCTCTGTCCCAGCCGTCCAAATTCAGCCGCTGTTGAAACTGATCAGCGGCTAATTCCAGGAAGCCCAGGGCACAGCAACTCTGCCTCGGGCTTCCTGTAGTCAGCCGCTGGTCAGTTTCAGCAGCGGCTGAATCTGGACGCCAGTTCTGACTTACATACAAATTCAACTTAAGAACAAACCTACAGTCCCTATCTTGTACGTAACCCGGGGACTGCCTGTACAGGTTGAACCTCTTTAATCTGGCACACTCTGGTCCGGCAACATCCCCACTCTGACATGATTTTAGTTAGCCAGATGATCATTTGTCATGGCCGTGGCCAAGTTTCCTGTGGTCCTATAAAGTTTGTTCATAGCCACTAGTCCTGACTCTCAGTGCCCTATGCTCTTATTTAGCTCTGTGATGGATAGGAGGAGTTCTGACCAGCACTTGGGGACTAAAGAGTTAAACTCATGTAGCTAAGGATGTTGTTGGAAGAGAGCAAGAAGAACTAATGGGATACAATGCTGAAATTTAAAATT